TATATATATATATATATATATATAATGAGTAGGTATCCTGAAATTCGCGAATTAAAATATTTTATAGCAAGAAACTTCTCAAAAAAATAAATGAAAGTATTTGCTATTTGTCGAGCAGTAATTTTTAAGATGTACACTCATCGAATAAAAGATTGCAACAGATTTTTTTCTATGATTTTTGGAATGCAGCTTACTTACCGATTGGTTTTTACTTACGGATCCATAAATAAGAACCAATCGCTCGGTGAACAGATTGTATTCCGAAACTCATTAAAAAAAAGTATTGCAACCTTTTAGTCGGTAAGTATACAGTTTAGAAACTAGTCAATTATAGATTATAGTTGAACCGTGAGTCGTACGTTGATAGTGTAAATGATCATTTTACGAACTTAATAACAAGTATTATAATCAAAGGGATGTGTATGTAATATCCGCATAACAATACCCAGTGAGAAATAACAATCGAAATCAACAAATCGATGTCGATTTGACATCCATTCCATTGTCATTTCTCATATAATATGTGTGCTTTGCGTGTAATATTTGTGGCAAATTAGTTGATGCTATTAATAAATGTAATGAATAAGGTAAAATTATAATTCATCGGAATTATGTCGCTATTATGTTAAATTTACTAATTTGTATGCAACAATATTAATAGAATAAAATTTACACACTTGCACTTAATCGATATACATACAAGCCATTATTTCATTAGAAAATTCTTCTCCTTTGTGTTCGAAGCCAAAAGACACGAGAAAAAAGCAGAAACATATGGAAAAACATTGATGCGTGAATCTAAAATTGATATGTCAGGAATTGATAATATTATTAAAGTTGACTCAAGACAAAATTTAAACGGGTTTTTTTATTTTTGTATCCAAAATTCCAGAGAAATATATTAAAATATGTAAATAAATGTAATACTATAAAAAAAAATAAATCCAATAAATTGTCGCATGTTTGCGCTTGCGGAACAGCATTATGCGTGCGTATATAAATCAATAAAAAAATATTTTGCGATAAAATGAAAGAATTCTAGAAAGTCTGGTATGGTTTGTTTTCTTTGTTTCTTGCACTAGACTCTCGTTTCCTAGAACTTTCTTTCTCGCTTTAAATAAATATCAAATGTACGTATCTATTTCACTTTAAGTTCCAAAAGTGTACACTAGTTCAGCCACAGAAAACAAACCTATACTTATATGTATTTTATACAGACAATTCCTGCAAAAGAAGAATAGAAAGAATATGTGAACATTACTGCCTGCTATATCAATTAGTGGTTCATTTTTTCAGATGTTCATTTTTGCTTATCTTACAAAAAAGTTAATTATTGCAAAATTTTAAACAATATTACATAAACTGCTATATCATCCAGTAGAAGACACTTTCTAGTTTGTATTTACATTTAAAAATTTTTATTTTTATCTTTTAGAAATATAATTTAAGAACAAAATGATATCGACGACTTTCTTTTAAATTTTATTCCATTATGTATATTTGGAAATTACAATAATATAGTAAATTGAAGCACCACAGTTCTGGAAATGTTCTAAAAGAAATACTTGTCGTTCTGAGCAATTTTTGAGATACATAATTTTAAAACTAGCTAATTATAGATAACGGTTAAACGATTATCTGTCCGTGAATCGCGCGACGATAATGTTAGTGATCGTGCACTTCAGGCTTACAGACTTTAGACAAAAGATTGTATGGATAATGTCCACATAATAACTGTGATGCATGTAACATTCGTTGTGAATTGATTGATACTGTTAATAAACGAACGTAAAAATAAGGTAAATTTATATTTTATTGGAATTATATAACTATTATGTTATTAATTTGTATACAATGTCAATAGAATTAGATACGAATAAAATATGAATAGTATTGTAATCAAGTAACATATACATGCGAGTTATTATCTCATTACAATAAAATTCTAATTTTTTAAATTTTATTAATTAACCTTTATTTTTTTAATTTTTAATTAAAACTTTATTGCTTACTTTTTTCGTTCATTTATTCACTTATTTTTTCAAGAATGTATATCGATTATAATATGAATTATGTGCATTGATTATTATGTATCTACTACTTATAATACGAGTATACTTACGTGAATATTGACTGCGCATTTTAAAATGAAATAATTCCATTTGTTATTACAATGACTTGCATTACAGTAACTTATTTTTTTATTAAAGACTAAATTTCGCGCAATTACAAACTAAAAGTTTAATTCTTCACTCGCCTCTGCGTGTAACATAGTTATCGGTCTTTTTTTCTAATGTTGGTGTTTGTAATTTTTAATTTTAAAGTTAGTTATTATAACGGATCAGAAAAAAAATTATATATTTGCATTAATATTTGCTCTATTGATGCAAAGCACATTTAAAATACTTTTATTTGAAAAATGAGAAAAAAGTATCTTAAATTTTAATAAATATTTATTTAAATAGTACCAACTAAATATTTATTAAATATAAAAATGTATTTATTGAGTACAAAAAATATTAATTTGATTTACTCACTTCTTTTTATTAAGTAAATATTTATTGTAAGTCAATGTTTAGTTGACAGTATTCAAATAAATATTTCTTAAAATTTAGGCTAATTTTTTTTTCAGTATAAGACAATTGTTTTATATTTCAGCGAAATATACAAAAATATTTTGTATCAAAATTTTGTGTTTCAAATATTAAGATTGACAATCCATTTTATTATTTAAAAAATAAAAAACAAAAAATTTTTCGATTTAAATACAAAATACGTAATACTTTTATGTGCTTTGCTGAAATGCAAAACACAAAATATACTTATATTGCAAATACTATATATTTTAAATAAAAGTATTTTAAATTTAAATTTAAATTTAAAAAAATTAAAAAAGTATCGCATACTAAAGGTAATATTTATGTAATATTTTCGCCTATGTGATCTACATAAGAAACAATACAATTGTCTTATTATTGTGAGAATATTTTTACATACATATTTTTTATTTTATAAATTGTCCAAAACTATAATAAAAACGAGACATAAAATATAGAGTTCATAAATATTGTTGGACACTTGACATTGCGCTCGTATTGACTACAATCATACTTATAACTCGCGCTATATCGATTATGCAACGCAAACCTACGCGTGCCAATGACAGTAGTGTGTCTGCACTCGTGCAGATTCGTGCTGACGTTGAATCATGACAATAGCATATGAGTTCAAAAAGGTCAATTGGCACATGACAACAATTATTCTCTTTACAATATGCCCTTTAAATAAAGAGAGAAACAAATTTAATAACATCGTTGGCAGTTGTTGTCTGGATCATTCCTTTCATGACTGAACTTTTGCAAATCAAAGCTGTAAGAGCATCGAGAACAATCCAGAAATACAACGGTATAAAAGAGACACGCAGAAGTGACTCAACACAGTACATGAATTCGCTGTCGAGTCGAAACACGAACAATCATTGTGAAGTCATTATTGCTTATTTTAAAGAAAAGAGATTCTCGTGGTCGCGAAAAGTTTTTCGAAAATCTTTATTACAGTTTGCAACACGTGTGGAAAATAAAGTCGTTTGTTTTATCACTTGTAGTGCAAAGATAACCTTAACGTCAACACTCGATTGTATTTTAATATATGAAATCGCTTACTTCTAAAAACGAAATCGCAATTGTAAGACACTCAGTGTAAATAGTATATATAGTCATAAAAAATTCAGTTTGAGCAAATACATTTCACAATTATTATCAAAGATGATTTTGAGAAATTATATGTGTGCGCGTGTAGTCTTAATCTCAGCTTAAACTACGGTCCAAACAGAGTATATTTAACTTGTAAATACAGTGCTTATCACAAGTTTTAGAACGGCTGATTATCTAAGAAAGTATTGATTTTTATTGGAAAAATATTTTAAATAAAAATGGTAGATTTTAAAAGATCTATTAAGAGATAATATTTATTTCAACTTTTAACAACTTTTGAAAAGCACGATTAAGGTAAATAAAAAAATAAAAGTTAGTAAGAGTTTCCATTAAAAATTTTTTTTTGTTCATCTTGACCGCGCTTTTCAAGATCATCTAAAGTTCAAATAAATACTGTATGGCCTAATGGACTTTCTTAAGTCATACAATTTTTGTCTAAAAATTTAGTTTTTTTCATAAACCTGCTAATGCTTTATGAAATAATTGGCTATTCCGGAACTTCGGACACGCAATTCGGAGATATTAATTTTTTTGAATAGAAAATATTTATTTGTACAGATATAGAGATTAGAAATAAAATTAATAAAATCAAAAATAAAAATTGACATGTAAACCATTTTTTTATTAAACTAGTTAAAAATTTTGAACATTTATTACAATTATTATTACAATTATTATTATCAGTCATACAATTATTTTTACTGATCAACAATTTATTAAAAATAAAAATAAATAAAATAATTATGTAATACGAATTATGTTAACTAGCAAAGCTTAAAATGATCTACATATTTAGAATTTAGAATATTTAATTGTTTAAATGGAAGAATTGTTTGCATAATAACTTTTGTATATTTGATATAAAATAATTAAAAAAGTTTTTTTTAATTTTTAAAGAACATATAAATTAAAAAAAATTAGAATTATTGTAATAAAATAATGATTTGTATCTATGTCACTAAGTTGATTTCGAAAGAAACAAAAAATATGATGAAATGATCGCAAAAAAGGAAAAAGGTAGAAGATAAAAAGCAGAAAACAGGAAGCAAAAAACACATGTAGATTAGGCTTTAATCATGATTATACACAACTAGCAAACTCTAGTTGGCAAGTTGCTCTTTACGAGTAACAAACTGATGCTGACACGTTATTTTAAAATTAGAATTCACGTTTAATGTAATAGACATACTGTCTCACCTTGTTCCAAAGTTAAAATTAGTTGTTTTAACAGTTGTTGGTATCATCATTATATCCTGAGAGAAGAAAAAAAGTTGCAATTACTATAATTACTATAATTTATCTATAATTTATAATCATATTTTGAAACAACTATGACTATTTTTTTGAAACAACTGTATTTATTGTTGTAATCATGCAAATACAATTGTGTTATTAATAATAAATAATAAATAATTAATTGTGTTATTAATAATATAATAGTCACACACACACTATTTAAAAATCTTTAGTTTCTAAATATATTTTTTATTATTATAACATAAATAGTAAATGAATTTAAAAAATAAAATGTTTATTTTATTTAACCATTTACATTTTGATATTTTATTATACTAATATTTGAAATTAGTAAGTACAGATTTTTCATGTTGTATAAATAAGCAATCATGTTGCTTTTTTAATAACGTGTTCCATTTCAATTAGAAATGCATTTCAATTAGAAATATACATATATAACAACATATGCTGTTGTAGCCAACAATTACAACAAAATATGGATATATATATATATATATATAAACATATTTTTAGCATTTTTAAATTATTGAAGAATATAGTAACAGCCTAATTGCAGATTAACAAGATCTGAAGATTGGTTTCAAATGATTAATAATTGACAATTGCGAAAATATTTCAGAGTTATTTTTCCAGGAGATTGCGAAAATGCAACCTTGCAAAAGTCAAATAAAAGTAAAACGAATGAAAGTCTTTCGCTAGTTGCGAAAACGCGAATGAATTGCAAAGGCTACGCTGGAATCGAAAAATTTATAAAATACGATCAGTTAGCACCAACTGCATTTGATTATATAGTACTCAATGTAAATTGACTGATTAATTAAAGTTCTTGTCAAAGTCAGTAAAAGATCGATATATCCATGACAGATATAAACGAATATACAAAGATCGATATATCCATACAGATAATATACGAAATCCAAACATTTTTTCTCTGTGTATCAATTGAATAACATGTCCTCAAAGGTCAAGTCAATTAACTGAAGTATACATTGTAAAATGTGCAGATTAACACGCGAGTTTAATGATATTGAAGAAATTGTTTGACCAATTGTTGCCTCTGTGCCCAGCACATACCATGAGTACAACACAATGCATTAGTTTGTATATGTTATATCATGCTTGGTTACCTGGATATATGTAAAGTGTATGTGTATATTGAAGATCCGTTATACATTTATAGAAAAGACTCATATGAGACTCATATGAGACAATCATCATGCATATGAAAGCGTATAGCGAGAAAATGAAGAATAATCCCAGAGCGAATGCCAATATTTTCAGCATCTTGACATTTTCGTAAGTATAAATAGTAAACTACAAATACCATTCGTGATAGAGCCGATTAAAAGAAATAAAACTGAGAGTGAAATGCGATCCAGAGAAAAGTTCACAGAATGCAATAATTTGATATATAAGATTCAAAAATTTCTAATCTAAGAATATAAAAAGTATAAACTGGAACTACTATTGATAATTATGTAGTATAGGAAAGCCATCCTCTGATAATCTTAACCTTGACATATATATATATATATATATATATATAAGACTCATGACTCTAAATAACCTCTAAAAGATTATTTTAGCAGTCGCTCGTTATTCGTTAAAAAGTTATTAATAAAAAATTTTACGAAATAACGTCTTACTTCTCGACATGTAATATTAAAAACATCTCACTTTCTCTCCCCTGCCTAGCAGCGCACGACTTTCTCATGTTATATGACTCTGACAATATATGTCAAAGTCAAGATTATCAATGAATGATTTTATATTACCCTATCGTTTATATTTTTTAGTCGAATCATTCTTTATTCATTTTTAATGCATTTGATTTTAATGCATTTACTTTTACAAACTATCGCATTTTTCGATTGGATAACGAGTTGGTCTGCGTGAAACGAATTAGCAACTCTCAGCAATTTTTTAAATTTTATACATCAATCGGTGCTCTGGAAGATAGAATTTTATGTCAAAGGATTTTTTAATTAGAAAATTAATCGAGATATATAATTGATGACAAGTTTTGCGAGAAGAAAATTATTCTGATTATTTTGCGCTATATTTGATTCGTAAGTGTAATGCAATTTCTTGATTTGAAAGTGGAAAGAAGGGTACAGATCACTTTTGCAAGATAATACGTAAAGCGATCTTGAAAATTAGGAGAAAAAAATTAGTATTCAAGAAAAGCATTCGAGAAAAGCAAAATTTAGGAACCTCGACGAATTGCGGATAGTTTATTCGAGTAAAACGTGTTTGCTTTGCTTTTCTTCTTCGCAGTTGGATTCTACCCATTTTCTGGGTGGGTTATCACCGAGATCTTGAAGTAACTGATTTGTACACACCGCTTAAAGAGCATACAAGTGATATTCTTGGTGTTAAAATAGCGAAAGCCTGGGAGAAGGAATGGAAGGCATATCAGTATCGGCTGGAGCAGATGGCGACATGCGAATCACAGAAGAAAGTCAAGGAGCCCAGCCTGATGAGAGTCCTCATCAGGTGTTTCGGTTTTAAGACTCTATTGTGCGGAACTTTCATGGCCATTATAGAAACCTTGCTCAGGTACAACTTCCTTTTCATTTCTTGTCTTATAGAAATTCTTATAGAAATTGTGAAATTTTTCATCTTAATATTTTACATTTTTTGCATTGGCGACAAAAATATGTATAATACAAATTGCACGAATTTAATCCTGTGGATTAAATCTTTCAATTAATGAAATTTTTTTTTGAATTAAGAATAAAGATTTAACTAAATAAAGATCTAATTAAATGAATATATTTATGATAATTAAATGAATGATATGTTTCATGAAAGAATATACGATAATTATTATAATTTTTAAATGAAAACCAAATTAAAATTTCACAGATTTTTAAGATTTAGAATCTAAATTTTTAAACTAGTTTTTAATTTGCAAATTTCTCACATTCTGACGAATTTTCTCTTTTGATGCAGAATAGTGCAACCGTTATTGTTGGGTCAGATGCTGCTCTATTTTAACACCACAGACATCGACAAGTTCTACGCGTACAAATGCGCCATCGGCATTATTTTGTGCTCCGCTATTAACGTGTTCGTAGTCCATCCTTACATGATGGATATGACTCATTTGGGTATGAAGGTTCGCGTAGCCTGCTGTTCGCTGATCTACCGCAAGACGTTGAAGCTGACTAGAACCGCGTTGGGCGAAACGACAATCGGCCAGGCAGTCAATCTGCTATCTAACGACGTCAACAGATTCGACGTCAGTATCATATTTCTCCATTATTTGTGGCTCGGACCTTTGGAGACCATTATCGTCACATACATTATATTCCATTTGATTGACATCGGAATATCATCTATTTTCGGTATCGCATTTCTTCTGATATTCATCCCTTTTCAAGGTGAGGCAGTCAATGCTCTGATCGTTTCTAGTAAACGTTTCTAAACTTTATAAAAGGTACACGTACACATATATATTAAGTTAATTTCAATTTAATCGGCTGATTAAATTGAAAGTAACCTGATATATATGTGTACATTTCCAAAGTTAAGAAACGTTTAAATACTTTAAATTATAAATAACTTCGCTAATCGTCTTTTTGCTTCGGTTAAACTGTCTATTGGTAGAATCTTGACTTACGATTAGTTTTGATAAATAATAAATAACAAATAATAGATTTTTAATAAACGATTAATTAATTTAAATTAACTTTAATCTGAAATCTTTACATTGTAACTTGTTGCTTTTCAATTATGCCTTTAAAATTTTTTTAAATACGAGAAAGAAATTCTGTTTCCAAATTTTACATTTTCATTGACTATGTCTTCAAATTATTGAGTTTCTTGCTAAGTTTTGCTAATTACTGAAGCTTTTTTCTGTTCAATTAGTAAATATCGTTTGATAAATCACTAAGTTGTAAGAATTGCTTCTAATCATATAATATATAATATTTCTAAAATTCCTTAGTGTGGCTAGGCAAGAAATCATCAGAGTTGAGATTAAGAACTGCTATCAGGACAGATGAGAGGGTACGATTAATGAACGAGATTATTAGTGGAATCCAAGCCATCAAGATGTATACCTGGGAGAATTTTTTTAGCTCTCTCATAGAAAAAGCAAGAAAGTAAGTACTGCCGTATAAACTGATTACATAAAAAATATTTATATCGATTGTACAATACATTGCAACAAGGAAGATGATTTTTGCAACACTTGTTTGTGATAACGCCTTTGTAACGGCTAAAAAAATGGAAGCAGAGAGTATTTCCGTTTTTTAATGCTTGTATTGATAAAAATTAGAAATAAAATTCCAATATTAGAAATATATTCAGTCATATTCTGGAACGATTAATATTGTACGATATTTTTTATTTGAAACGAAAAAGAAAAAATATATAGATATATAGATATATAGATATTGTACAAAATATATAGATATATAGATATTGTACAATATATATAAACGCTACAAAATTCAATTTTAGGAAAGAAATTAATATCATCCAATGGGCGTCATGTATCAGAGGTATCGTCAAATCTTTCATCGTCTTTATGACAAGAATATCGTTATTCATTACGATATTATCTTATATTCTGTTTGGCTACAAGATAACGGCCGAGAAGGTGTACGTGATAACTGCCTATTATAACAGTTTAAGCTTAATCATGACTGCCTACTTTCCGCAAGGTATGCGAATTAGCAATGTATGTGATAATTACATATGTGAATGACATCGATCAACAATATTGATGCTTGTAATGTTCCTTTTTTATTTCTTTCTTTTTACTTTTTCAAGTGTATCTTTTGTTATCTGTTTGTTATCCTTCTGTTTGTTATCCTTCCTTCCTCACTGTTCAACACTCAACGAATTCCTATTCACTGCTTTGCAGCAGAGTTGAAGTAATGTGTTCACAAGCATTTGCATGCGATATAACTTGCTGAGTGAAATCATAATCGACAAATTATTATACATAATTAATAGATTGCTCGAAATTATGGAAATTAAATAATTTATTGGTAGTTATAAAAGATAATTACTTACTTATCTACGAAATGTTAAGTACATGATTATGATGTATTTTGATTTAATTAACGATAACAGAATAGATAAACTAATGTAATCAAATCAGATGGACTGCCTGCACGATTTATTAATGCTATCCATTGAATTCACCGTATAATTTCTCATAAACAAGCAGTAGGTCGTATATATAAGGGCTGGTTACTTTATTTCTTTTCAATTATTATATTTTATACTTTATATACTTTATTATCTTAATATCATAATAAATTAAAGTTTCGTTTAAGAATCACATCTAACGTTAAATATAAAGTAAATTCTATTCTACTCTATTTTTATTTTTTTTTATTTTTATAATAACCCAGGAATAACACAAGTAGCGGAAACGATTGTCTCCATAAAACGGCTGCAAAAGTTCCTCATGTATGACGAATTGACTCTTTCCGAGATTGAAGCAAAGAAATACAATAAGGAGAACAATAAGGACACAAAAGAGAATAACAAGAAGGAGGATAATCAAGATGTGAAGGAGAATAATATGAAAAATATGAATTCGAAGGAAAATTTAATCGAGCAAAAGAAGAATGATAGCACAATCGTAGATCAGCTGAAGAATATCGAGTGTAGTATCTCCATCAAGAACGGAAATGCTAAATGGTTGGATTATGAACAAGAAGACACCTTATTGAATATCAACATGAAGGTGCGTCCTGGTGAATTGATCGCTATTGTCGGGCAGGTCGGCGCGGGAAAGAGCAGTCTGTTGAACGTCATTCTGAAAGAATTGCGTTTGCAAGAAGGCTGTATTCAAGTACGAATTCATTCAGTTGACGATTTCTTTTTAGTTAATGTTAAATATTTAAAAAATTTATACATATATCGAATTAAAATTTATGTTTGAATAGTTTATTTATATATCAAATAAACTATTTTGTCCATCAAAATAAATTATTTAATCAATTTATTTTAAAAATATAAATGTACTTTTAATTAATTTAAATATTTACATAATTAATTTACATAGTTAATTAAAGTATACTACTGTTCTTTTAAATATTTTTTCATAGGTTAACGGCAGGATTGCCTACGCTAATCAAGAACCGTGGCTTTTCGCTGATTCAGTGAGACAAAATATTCTATTCGGAAGAACGATGGATCAGATTCGATACGATCGCGTGACTAAAGTGTGTCAGTTAAAGAGAGATTTCAGCCTGTTGCCTTACGGTGATAAGACGATTGTAGGAGAGAGAGGTGTCAGCCTTTCCGGTGGCCAGCGTGCAAGGTTGGTTTCACAAACCATCCTAATAAGACTAACTATTTATCAAAATTTTTAATCTTTATTTATAATCTTAGAAACTCTCTTTTAATTCTTTTTACCTATTGATAAGGTTGTTAAGAATAATAAAAAATTATATTTAATTTTCTTGAAAATTTTTACATTTCATATATATATATATATATATATATATTTATATATATATGTGTATGTTTATTTATATATATATGTGTGTGTACAATTGACAGGATAAACTTGGCGAGAGCCGTTTATGCCGATGCCGACATATATCTCATGGACGATCCTTTAAGCGCCGTGGACGCTCATGTGGGCAAGCATATATTTGAAAAATGCATCAATAAATATTTACGAGGCAAGACTCGAATTCTTGTCACTCATCAGTTACAATATCTACGCAATGTCGGTAGAATTATCGTTCTAAAGGACGGAGCTATCCAGGCTGAAGGGTGATTCTACTGCACTTTCTATCTTTTCAATTCACCTTGTTATTTGCGTAGGTTAATCACCTATTAACATGATAGTATCATTGTCTTTTCGTAGAAAAAATACAATACAGATATCAATATTGATTCGCTTAAGCGCCACTTCTATTACTTTATATGAAATTATATGTTCATCAGCACTTACGCCGAGCTGGGCTTTATGGGAGTGGATTTTGGTCGACTGTTAAAAAATCAAGTGGAGGCGAATGAGAAATCGTCTGTCTCCTCGCCTCCCATTAGCCGTAAAAATTCGCTCATCGCCAGTATCACGTCGCTGAGTTCCTTAATGACGAATACTTCGAAACAGGATCCTGAGGAGGTAAAAAATTTAGGCATTTATTTTATAAATTACTTTCTAACTATTCATATCTTGTTTGTTAGTATCTTGCTTAATTAATATTAATATTTAAAATAATTAAATTGATGAGTATAAGAAGGACGAGTCTAATTTAATTTAAAAATAAATTTTTTTCTTATTAATCTTGAAATAAATATATAGATATCTTTAGTGTAAATAGAACATCTTTCCAGACTTCTAAGGACCTAAAGTAAACATTGAAGATGTACAATAAGTACAGAAAGCTCAGTTTACTCGTCTCCTTTGAAAAAAACAGAAATCATCCTAGAATATCGAAGAATATTTTTTAATGAGGTTTTTGAATGGTCAATAATTAAGTTCGAAGAACAATAAAAGAAATATTTTAATAGTCAATGTTTTTAAAGTGTTTTTTGTAAATTATCACACAATTATTTAACATAAAAAGAAGTAATAGTTTAAGATAAACTAACGTATCTCAATAATATATTATCAAATTTTTTGTTTTTTTATTATTAATGTTGAGTACAAAAAAAGCATATCAGTCCAAATTTGAAAGTCAAGTTTTTTTATTTAATGGACAAGATTCAAGAAATCAGCAATATTTAAAAAGTATTATTAAATGTCATATGTAAATTCTCAATAGTAATTCTCTTAGTTTTTTCACTAAAATTAAACAATTTTTTATTAAAATTGAAAAATTTGATAAATGTGATTTATTCCCTTTCCGCACACATTGATTCAATTAAAAATATCTAAATTATGGAAAAATATTTAGTTCTGAAATTTTAAAATTATTAGTACAGATAATTTATAATTAAATAACGAATTTTATATAATTTTTTTTTAAAAACACGTGTCTTGAAACCATCATTTTTTTTATCTTGGAATAATTTTAGATTTTAACAAATTATAACATTAACATTATAATTAATTTATGTTAATCGTTAATTTTAGGTGCCTGAGGTGCAAACGGTAGGCAATGTTTCCGGCAAAATATTCACTGATTATCTTCGTGCTGGTGGTAACTGGTGCGTTATATTCATAGTAGCCATGCTTAGCATAGCGACACAATTAACGGCTAGCGGCAGCGATTTCTTTCTTGCGAATTGGGTTAATAAAGAAAGGCACTATGTAAGTATATCACTAGACACTAAGTGTTAAAATAATCATTGTTAAAATAATCGGCAAATTGAGGGTGTAATTGCTTTTGCAAAAGATTCAAGAAGTTAAAAATTTTACAATAGAGATTATTTCAGTAATATTTTTTACGTTAGGTTTCAAATATTAGTAGATGAAGCAAATAATATACTTATTAATATCAATTATTATATTAAAATAATAAT